AAAAAAAAAAAAAAAAAAAAAAAAAAAAAAAGGAAAAATAAAATAAAATAATTGCGATTATTAAAGCAAAGGCACGCGGAAAATAATACATGATGAAGTAATTCAAAAATAACGAAATGGTGAAAAGTGCCAGTGGTGTGAAAGCGGGCGGTATGCTAAAAAGAAAGCGCAACGTTTTATCAAGTTTTATACATATAAAAAAATATATATAAAAAGGAAAAACAAAAAAAAACTGCAGTAAAATAATGATCACATATGGACACAGGAAAAGTGTATAAAAGCAAATGGCACTATATCAGTTGCGAGCCTCGGTACTCTTTTCGCGGTGAAGTTAAAATAGTGTTTCGGTGCTTCGCTTCCCTGTTAGTCTTTCTCCACGGGATGGGAGTTACAAAGGCATATATACGGACACGCGGAATTATTCGCAAATTCATCTACTTTGCACAAATCGGTTGGGTGGTGTCTGCACACCACTGGAATTATGGTCAAAGGGTCAACACCCGCAACAGGCGGGGTCGCCATGAAATTCCTTGTGGACGTCCAAGCCCTCCGTGTAGGTTCTCCCACATGTGACAAACTTATGTCCAAATAAAAAGAAACCAATCGACAGGCCAACCACAACGGCGATGAATAAGCCAACATTGAAAGTCATAACGATTAGCATTAATAAGTAGTCCCATGAATAAATGATAAATGACAATGCAGATCTCGCTAAATTGTTTTTAAAAAGAATACCACTCGTCATTACGTTTGTGTCTTTGGTTTTCGGTAGAACCTGTTCGACCTGCAGTCGGAGCAGCTTCAGTAGGACTGATAGTACGCCAAAAATGAGGCACAAGAAAAGGGAGATGTAGTAGGACAGTTGCTGTGGAACAATGGGGGGGAGGGGGGTGTATGGGTGGTGATGAGTTTGAGATATAATTGTGCGCATGTGATCAGCAGATGGTGTGCCGCTCAACAACTCGCGTGGCGGCATGCGCAACTGCAAATACACAGATCAATCCCCATGTCGAGGGGATGTTCACTCTGATTACCGTTTTGGTTTCCCAGAATTTAAACAAAATAATCGTGTGCGTGGAAAGCTGAAATGACATGGGCATGGCCATGCTGTGGCCTGTGGTACTTCCATCGCCGCTACTTCCATCTCCAGCTCCCTGCAGTTGGAAGTTATTTTCCTTTTGGCCTTTCATGTGCTGCTCAATTATGTTTTTGTACAATTTAAAATTGTCCCAGCAGTCATAAATAAAGGCCAGTTTTTTTTTGCTGCAGTTATGAGCACATTCTACATGTAATGAAGGTGTGCATTCTGCATCATCCTTTGAAACCTTATCATCCTCTGAAATGTCACCATCTTCTGAAATCCTGCCATCCTCTGAATTCCTATCATCCTTTTTTTTTTCGTTGGGGTTCTCATTTGAGCCTTTTTTATCACAACAGTTGGGTCCTTTTTTGTTATTATCTGGCCCATTTTTCCCGTTGATATTTTTGGCCGTCGTTCCACCCGTGGTTAGTAACAAATTTATAACTAGAATTATTAAAATGAAGTTCCAGATGTTTTTATTCATTTTTGTTATTCTTGTTTGGGGTAGTAAAAACAAAAAAGGAAAAACGATTACACGTAGGGCTTGGTGGAAAAAGTATAACAAAAATGACTAAGTTAAACAGAGTGGAATGATTTTAACCACGAGGATGATTAGCCTTTAGGGTCTTTTTTTTTTTTTTTTCTCCTTGGCATATTAATAAATAACCTACACGTGATGTACAGTTATACACGTATGCATAATGACTAAGAATGAGTTTTTGTAAGTTATTATTTTTTCTCCAGAAAATGCTTCGCAAAGTTTATATTCACCCTTTGCTATATTCACAAGGAGAAAAAAAAAAAAAAAAATGCACTATCACCACGTCCAATGTGATTGAAGCATACACAGAAACACAGCCAATACGGCCAACCCACGGGTAGAGCATACAAGCAAGTTGCACAGCAGGCAGCGCGATTTAAGTTGTTATTGTGTTTGTGTAATTTTGCACAACATAAGGATGCATAATGTATGCCTTATTCTGCAAAATTAGCAATTGCCCATGCGGTTAAGGCACATTTTAAAGCTTAAAATTCTTCGTATGTTCAGGTTTTTTCGCAATGAATTTGTTTTTTTTTTTTTTTTTTTTTATAAGATCTGTTACTTTTAGAGAGTTGGAATACACCTATTATATGGCGATACAATAGCATCTTTACATGACCTCTTTGCGAAGTACAAATTAGATTTGCTACGCCTTCCCCGTGCGGCACCTTCCTTCTGTTCCGTGTATAAATGCAAAGGGATTTAGTTATGTAACAGAAGAAAGGTGCAAACCTCGAATGAGTTACTGAGGGGTTCACGTTGTTGCGAGTTGTGCATACGTGTTGATCCGTTTCATTTGACAATCTGTGTGTTCAGAATGTGGCTGCACAAATTTTTTACTTTGGTTAACTTTTTTTTTTTTTTTTTTTTTTATTAACTTTTTTTGCACTTTATGCGTGTGTTTTACAATTATATGTGCCTCCAAAGGCTTGCACCCTAAAGTGGGTTTGTAGTTATTCGAAGTCTTATCCGTGGCGTGCAATTTATTCGCGCACACGCGATTTTAATTAGGGAAAAAAAACGCACATTTGTGAAAAGATGTATATTACGCGCGTGCATACGTATGGAAGTACATTGGGGGTACGATCTCTGGCGTTCTTTCAAAAACGATGTAGACATTTTGCACACGAAATTTTAATAAGAATACATGATGGATTGGTAGAAGAGGGAAAAAAAAAAAAAAAAAAAACACATTTTCATACGAAACGTGCAGAAACATTTCCTTAGTCATACAGGTCGTAATGAACCAACAAGGTAGACGACCTTGAAAATATACAAGTTGTCCGCAGTTCTACTTTAACATGTTTTTTTTTTTTTTTTTTTTTTTTTTTACGCATGATTTCGCGTTGCCCATTTTATAATGTTGACAAATATTGCGCAACGCCCTCTTCTGTTGGCTTCATGGAAACCTTGCCCTTTTTCCAGTTGGCTGGACACACATCGCCATATTTCTCATGGTGCTGTACGGCGTCGATTATTCGTAAAATTTCGTCCACTGAGCGACCTATTGGCAGGTTATTAACGAGCAGATGTTGCACGATTCCATTCATGTCAATCAAAACGAAGGCTCTCAATGATACGCTATCATCAAAGAGAACGTTGTAGTCCCTTGAAATGCTTTTGGTGATGTCTGATAGTAATGTATGCTTGATATTGCCAATGCCTCCTTTTGCCAGTGGGGTTTTTTTCCATGCAAGATGTGTGTATTTGCTATCTACACTGCATCCCAACAATTCTACATTCCTTTCGTGAAATGCATCCAAGGCTTTATCCAATGCTATTATTTCTGATGGGCAAACGAAGGTAAAATCCAGGGGGTAAAAATATAACAGTACATACTTCTTTCCAATAAACTGGGATAAATTTACTACTCCAAAGGAGTTATCTCCAAAAACGGCCTCCGCTTTGAAAAAAGGGGCTTCTTTTCCTACGTATGTCAGCATGTTGTTCGGGTTGGCAAATGGTGGGTAGTAGTTTTGGGTTTATAATATATTTTGCGCTTCCCTGAGGGCTGTATATATATATAATTCGTTATCTGCTCACGCGGCTGTTAACGTAATAGGGGAAATTTTTTGCAAAGAGATGGTTGGAGGAAGTATATTCTGATTTATTTGTTTTTTTTTTTTTTTTTGTAATATTTCGCTGCTTTTGTTTTTAATTTTGCATACGTTCTTATTTTGGAAAGAAGAAAAAAAAAAAAAAAACGTTTATTCGAAAAAAATTTTATTTGTGGAGTGACTGGATTATTCCAAAAAAGGATTGCTTTTACAAAAAGTTGAATTTAAAAAAACAAAAAAAGCACACATGATAACAAATGCGGCACACCGACACCATGGTTTGAGATTATGTATAATAAAAAGCGTACAATATAAATTGCTTTAAAAAAATAAGAAAACACCTCGAGGGGATCCTCTACTTTTTGCCAGCTCACATATACCGGAAAAAACAAAAATGGGGGCTACATTAGTAAATCTGATATGTATGTAGGGCATACTTTTAAGTGCCTATACCAGCGCACTCGGTGTTCTCCCACGTGCTGCATAAAGTACATATTGATATATTTACATAATGTTTAGCCCAATCATTTATCTTTTTGTTTTTTTTTTTTTTTTGCTGCGGGGGTGGTGAATTGTCAGTATTCGTTTATAGTGGTTTCTTTCCACACTGGGAGGATAAACATGCCTTTTTTTTTTTTCCTCTTTTAAAATGTTGCTCCAGGTTTGTTGGGGCAAAACGAAGGCGCATGAGGGAATCTGTAGCAGCGCACGGGCAATCCTCATGCATGTGTTTCAAACACTGATACAAAATAATGCGAGTTTTGAAAAAAAAAAAAAAAAATTAAAAAGCTGCTTATAAAGAAAGAGGACTTCCCTCAAACGCACGCACGCGTTTTCTTTCTTTTTATTTTAAATATTCACCCTTTTTATATTTTTTTTTTTTGTTTGCATCAAATATCGAATCCCATTATTTCTATGTTATCCGTACTGCGTTGTGGTTATACGTTTTCAATCCAGTCAACTACATTTGAAAATTATGGGACAAGGGGCAATCGTTATAATATGGGTGTATTTTATGGGTCCCGTGGGAAAATGATAACCCCTATCTGGCAATGGAAAAAAAAAAAAAAAATAGCCACATATTTGTGGTTACAGAATGTGTGCTTATAAACTGCGTACATAAAATAAAAAGGAACTGATGCAACGGGGTTGTTCTGTTGCCGGGAAGGGGTTCATTTTTTCAAATTTTCAATCCGAAGAAGGGATCCTTATTTATTTTCTCCTTTTTGTAACGCCGGTTGAGCCAAGCATTTACCCCCCTTCGGCGCATGAGAAAGAGCGTCGTTCTATGATGTGGCACGACGGTGTCACATATTGTAAGGTGCAAAGTATAATCGTTAAATTTGCATTCGATGTTGATCAACAATGGGAATTTCTTCTATTGTGTCCTTAAAAAGAGAGTGGAACACATTATATGAAGATGGGTAGTTATGGTACATGTGGTTCACATTTACGGACTCTTCAATGGAAATATCCATGGAGACACATTTTTTAAGATCATATAAGATGCTGCATTTGCTTTGTATATTATCTGTACATTTGATCACCGAATTGTCTTCAGTAGGATTTGTACTGTAGTAGGTTTCTGACTTATGGTAGGTATCGTACATATCATGCGATGAGGGCAAATTGAAAACGTCCAAGGGTAATAACAATGGCATGTTTTCATCAGCATCATTTTTTAAAGTGCGATCAAGGTAATTCTTATGTTTAATGAGAAAGCTGTTGTTTATTAGATTTTCTATGGTATCTTTTGGAGCTTCCTGCTTCACTTGGGGTTCCGTCTTTTTGTTTTTGAAATAATTTGCAAAGTGTAAATACGATATGCACCTTTCCCACTGGTAATTTTTTATGTAGTCCAGGGATTCTTTTAACTGTTTTTCCTTTTTTAGTTTTGCGTTTTTGTCCCGGTGTTTTTGCTCCTACGAGAGGTTTGCGATAAGGAAGGGGTGTGCAAGATGGAGGTGCGTGTACGTGGGATACAGTGGTAGGTCGACGTAGCAGTGCATTAATTTTCCTATGTCTTTTTTTCATTTACATTTTCCATAAGGGGCATCAGGATGCACTGGAACTTATGCTGCGTGGAAATGAAACAAATGTCACTTAGCTCGTTATTTATAAATTCTGTCAACTTGGAGTATCCTATTTGGTCTATGTTTATGCTTTCTTTGTACACGTTTTTGTAAATGAGGGGTAACCTACTTAGGGAAAAGCCTTGGGGATAAAAAAAAAAAAAAAAAGGAAACACATGGTATATGTCTTTTTTTTTTACACTTTACAAATGATTGTATTTGTCCCTAAGTGGTCAAAAATGTATGTTTTGCATTGAGATGGAGAAAAGCCAAAATCCTCATACTTAGTACTTGTTTAATTGCTCTAATTGAAGCTCGTTAGTATACTCCTAATGGGCGCCTACTCTCTGTGTGTGTAAAACTCTGTGGCTGGTGTCGATGCCACATGGCTGCTACTACTGCTACTTCTACTGTGATACTACTTCTACTTTACTACTACTCCTACAACTACTGCTACAACTGTTCTTACAACTACTGCTACAACTGTTCTTACAACTACTGCTATAACTATTCCTACAACTACTGCTACAACTATTCCTACAACTACTCCTACAACTACTCCTACAACTACTCCTACAACTACTCCTACAACTACTCCTACAACTACT